GGGGCCTCACTCCCAGGATTCAGGCCGGAAGAGGTTCGAGCCAGTGTGACGCTTTGGCGGCCAAATAGGGGGTGTTTTGATATTCTGGAGCCGTCACATCACTTTCCTTCATGCTTTATTTGGGTACTTAGGTGTTTGTCACGGTCGGATCAGGATCTGAGAGGTGGAGCAAAATGGCCTAGCTTCCATTTGGTAATGAGAATTCAGAAAATTCTTATTTCCAGCAGGGGTTCCCCATTATGTGAAAGGTGAGGGGGGCCTAGGTGCCGCCATGGAAAGGACGGTGTTTGAGAGCATCTAGGGCAGGGTGTATATACCCCCAGATGCTCGGAAGGGTCGCGAGTGTGCTGGTTTTTTATCGCAGGGGCTCGGTATCATTGGCGAGGGCCCGAAGGCTTGTTGGAAACGTCTGGATTGTTGCGTTACCGTATTCGCCCAGGGTGGGGGAAACCCTGGGACCTGCACCCTTACCGCTAGGAAACGCAGCCCAGCCGCCGCCGCCGCCAGCCCGCAGATTCGCATCTGTCCATCGGTGTTCGCTCACTTTCGGTTTCCATTTCCCTGGCGCTCTGGAGACCTGCCCAAACGCACAGAAACTTTTCAGCCGCCTTTATAAAAGCGGAGTTTCAGCTCCAGTGATAAGACATTCCCAATGTGTCTCATCAGGAATATGATTCTCCTATAGGGGTTTGGGGAAGACGGGCTGCTTTAGAATGGGATTATCTTGTCTCAGAAACAAAATTCATTTTGAAACGGACCAGGGGAACCTGTAAAAACACGCCAACAGCAAACACATCGCCCTGTTTTCTTCTGGTTCAGAGTGTGGGTTGGTCCGTTTACTTGGGAAGGGTTGGGCCAGCTCATTCCTAGGGACAAAGTTCCATTGAAAATGTAAAAATGTTTGGCTCCTGGAAGCTTTTGAAGGTGACCTACCTGTTTCCTGGGCTTCCCTGCGTGTCCACCGCAGGGAGAAACCTGGTGACTGCCAGCCCACCCTCCCGGCATGAATGTGGGCAGTGGTGTGGCTCCGTTGTTCAGAGAGCAAATGAGCCGTCCAACTGTTCTGTTCCGTACTTTCTCTCATGTTTATATTTGCAGAACTGGGGACTTTGAGGCAGGCTTGTTCAGAGTGCACTGAATTTATGTGGACTGCATTCCTGGAAAAGATGGTGGCCAGTCATTGCACACCTGGCCCAGCGAGGGCATTTTTCCCCCAAAGTTTGTATTAAAGCGTATTTTGCCTGTATCTTTTTTAAAAAATATGTACTTGGGTATCAACTTTTTTATTAATTAAAACAAATTCTTTTTATAGAGAGAGAAAGGGAAGAGAAGCATTGATCAGTTGTCTCTCATATGCGCCCAGACCGGGGATCGGACACGTAACCTAGGTGTGTGCCCTGACCAGGAATGGAACCCGCAGCCTGTTGGTATATGGGAGGACGCTGCAGCCCACTGAGCACCCAGTCAGGGCTTGCCTGTATCTTTTAAATAAAGGTTTTACAGGGCATTTCTGATGGTAAAATTAAAGGGATTGGATAAGTTACTCGGACCTTTAACATTTCATGTATTCTTTTTAAGAAAAGATACATGATTCAACATTCATGGTGGGACAAATGTAGGTTTACAATTGTGAGTACTCAAAAACAGTTTATTCTTGTATTATTACTTAATCGTATTATTTTCCATACAAAATTTGCCCCACCCTGTCTCTTCCTTGGACTTACCTTTATAGCCGATGGAACACGTTGTAAAACTTTACTTAAGAAGAAGTCTTGCTTGTTGACCTTTCTTGTGAGAAAGCTGGAAGTCACTTTAAAATTCAGTTGTTTTACAGCTGGATAAAGCGACTCCAAAGCATTCCTCCTTTCTAAGGTACCCCAAGTTTTTTTTTTCCTTAATATATTTTTTGCTTTTTAATTACAGTTGATATGCAATATTATAGTAGTTCGAGGTGTGCAACCCAGTGATTAGACATTTATATTAGTTACAAAGTGATCACCCTGATAAATCTAGTACCCATCTGGCAACAGGTACCCCAAGTTCTAAAAATCCCAGTGGCCTCCTGTTCTCCCTGTCTAAGAGGACCCCCCAGTTCTGAAATGATACACTGGTGACCCAGTGTATTACCAGTGGCCGCCTGTTCTCCCTCAGAGGCGCCATTCTGGAAGCTGAAGGAGGCGGGCAGTGACACCCAGGGGAAGACTGGGCCTTCTCCGGGCATCTGCGGCCCTTTGCTCCTGATTTGGCCTGTTGGTTGGCTCCCACGGGAGTTACTAAGGTTTTTGTTTTGCTTTGTTTTGGAAAGTTTTTGTGGCTAGGCAAGTAGCAGGGTACACACACAGCCTTTCTGGATTGTGCTTCAGGATTTTCAGACTAAAATGCTTGTGATTCTTATCTGAGACGCTCATGCGTCCCTCCCTTAAACTGCTGTTTCTTCTTTGTAGCTGCCTCGGGGTGACTGGAGAGTTGTGGTTTCTTTGCTTACGAGGGAGAGGATTCAGAGCAGCTTGGACTTGTGTTCTAAGTTTTCATGCACACTTGTATGTAAGTGCTCATAGGCGCTCTCACACATGCACCTGTGGAACGGTATTGACAATATTTACATACCTGTCCTTTCTCCTGGATTAGTTGTCAGGGACACTCGCTTACAATTCAGCAGCTGGTAATTAACTATCACGTTATTAGAAAAGGATGAGGATACAGACAGTAGGGGGGTGAGGGCCTGTGCTGGGGGGTGGGAGCGGGCTGAGAGGTCAGTGGGGGGGAAAGGAGACATGTAATACTTTCAACAAAAAGAGTTTAAAAGAAAAGGATGAAGGAATGCATGTCTAGCTTTACTTAAAGAATGGAAATAGACTTTTTTGATGGGCCCTGGGGACAATTGTTTCACACCAAAATTTACTTTAATCTGCGCTTTGACTTCTTTTCCTCTTTTTTTTTTTAAATATATTTTATTGATTTTTTACAGAGAGGAAGGGAGAGAGTTAGAGAGTTAGAAACATCGGTGAGAGAGAGAAACATCAATCAGCTGCCTCCCGCACACCTCCCACTGGGGATGTGCCCGCAACCCAGGCACATGCCCTTGACAGGAACCGAACCCGGGACCCTTCAGTCCGCAGGCCGGCGCTCCATCCACCGAGCCAAACCAGCTTCGGCAACTTCTTTTCCTCTTGTTACTGAAAAATCTTCAGGGCTCATTAGATAGTAATTCTTCTAATCAATTCTTTTTGCATTTAAAAAACTTTGTGATAAGCTCTGGCCAGGTGGCCCAGTTGATTAGTCATCCCATACACCAGGAAGGTTGTGGGTTCAATTCCTGGCACATACCTAGATTGTGGGATTGATCCCTGGTCGGGTGTATATGGGAGGCAACTAATCACTGTTTCTCTCTTTTCCTTCCTTTTTTTCTAAATCAGTATAGCCCGGCCAGTGTGGTTCAGTGGTTGGGCATCAACCTATGAACCAAGAGTTCACTGGTTCTATTCCCGGTCAGGGCACATGCCTGGCTTGCGTGTTCAATCCTCAGAAGGGGGCGTGCAGGAGGCAGCTGATCAATGATTCTCATCATGTTTCTATCTCTCCCTTCTTCTCTGAAATCAATAAAAATAAACATATCCTTGGGTGTGTATTAAAAAAACAACCACTTTGTTATTAAATAGTTTATATGTTAGAGCCCTGGGTCTTAGCACATTTCCTATTTGACAGAATCTGGCGGGGAGAAGCTGGACCCTGTGTGAGGGCTCTTGCTGTGATAATGAGGTCTCCTTAGAAAGCCTCACAGGGGTGTGCATCTTAGAACTGGGACGGGTGCCCCATCTAGGCTGCTTCAGTCCCTGACCTTCTGGTGGAGACCTTGTGTAGCCCACTGTATAGATGTGCACTGGGGTCACCAACCCGGCAAATCTTGAGAAGGATCTTGGGGACCAGATCTAGACTCCAAATGTTCCTGTTTCCCCTCCAGTCAGTGCCATCTGCAGTTGTGGGAAATCCGTTGGCAGAGCCGTATTGAATGACTCTCACATCCATTTGACGACAGTTTTTAAATCTTGACGCTATTGTTGTTCTGGGCTGGTTCATTTTCTCTGGGCGGCTTTCCTGTGCATTGTAGGATGTGTAGCAGCTTCCCTGTTCTCTCCCACTGGCACCCCCTCTGCAGGTGTGATAACCAGAAAACCCCCTGCAGGCTGCCCTGTTCCCTGGCTGCAACATCGCCCTCGCTGGGTAACCGTGTGTCACCAAAGGATGTCAGCGTTTAAAGCTCATGCTTCCTTCTTTTGAAGACACTGGCCTGTGGGGTCTTCTGCTTGGAGGCCCCTCGTGTGGCCAGTCGTTTCATGGAGGGCTGTCCCCCCGCACCCCCCCCCCCTGCCACCCCCCTTCCGCCCCGGGACTCTTCAAGTGCATGAACTTTGTCAGGTCTGTCTGCAGGCCGCTGTGCAAGCAGACTACCAGTTATTTTCCATTCAACTTTCAATGCCTTGCCTTGAAAATGGACCACCACTGACTTTATTTCTAACACTTTCCCAGAGTGTAACTCTGAGATGACCCACCTGAGAACG